ATCGCTTTCGTTTATACGCGGTAACATCGGGAGTGCGTTACGCATAAAGACATCTCGAAAAAATGGGATACGCAAGCGCTTCGCCAAGTAGTCCAATTGAACGTTGGTGGTTGCACCGGTAGGCATTTTTATCGTTTCATCGATGTTTTTTTTTTTTTTCTTCGAGACGCCTTTTCCACGTTTGTATGGTGCAAGATAGACTCCTCGACCTTTCATGACGCGGTCTTCCATGGCACGATGATGACATTTTAATTCTTCCAGTTGACGTTGAGTAGCCTTGTTGTCATTCACAACCTTTGCAACCCCCGCTGCTCCTCCAACCAACGAACCGACTACTCCCAATAACGGTAGAACTGGTAAAACACCACCACGTTTCGCTACCGGAAGTATTCGTTTCGTCTTTTTTCTCTTCGTTTTCAAACTCATACCGAGTTTTGTCTTTGCTTTCATAGCCGCCCAGACTGCTGTAGCTGCAGTTCTCTCACCGAGAGTCGAATCTTTCGAAGTTATGTGTTCCTGAGCTTTCACAGCGAGAATCTTATCCGCCGCGTGTCTATCGGTAAGGTTATTACTTCGAAAATATGCAATGTCGTGCTCGCGACACGCCTCGTCCAATGAATTAATGGCTCGATCACCTCTAGCCAATCGTTTTGCCAAGCGAGTTCCAGGACCGCAAAAATTATATCCGGGGATGTGCAACTCGACAGGAAGTGCGTTTATCGCACGATTTAATAGGCCTCTACCAATTGTTTTTGTCGTCTTCGGCGACATTCGTTGCAGTCCCTGATCAACGGTGCTGGACTGTCAATGTGCGTTCGTTCCCACGGGCGATTATAATGTTCCAGACACCGGTGATACTGCTGAACCTCTGAGTCAGCCTTTATATACTCGGGAAGTCTGTCCCCAAAACGTCAATGTGCGTCGAAAACCCACGCAATAGGACAACCTTCGGTATGTACAGTATGTTTGATAAGAGCGTGTACGGCAAAACTTTTTCCTCGAAACCGTTAGAGGGGGGATATGAACGCGAGCCAATAGCGGGGCTCT